TGGTTCCCCCCCCGGCCTGAAGCGATGGCCGAGCGGCGTGCCACTGGGCCGTCGCTGCTGGTCCCACCCCCCGGCCTGAAGCTGCTGTTCCCCCATCTCTCTCTCTCTCTCTCCTCTCTCTCTCTCCCTTCCTCTCTTCCCCCCCCCACCGGCTCCGAGGCGAGGCCCGCGCGGCGTGGAGCCATTGGGCCTCGCGACTCACTCACTCTCTCTCTCTCTTCCCACCCCCGGCTCTGAACCGAGGGCTAATCGGCAAGCCGATCGGCCCTCGCCGCTCTGCCCCCCCTCCCGGCTCGCCGCTCGCCGCTTCCCTTCCATGCGCACGGAACACTCTGGCACTTTTGGGGGGATTTAAACATCCCCCCGAAATTTTTGTCACCATTTAGGATTTTTGTGCACACGTGGGGACTGCCCCACGTGTGCACAAACCTCTCCCCCCCCCAGTGCCCCTGATGTCCGGATTTAAGGATCCGCACAGAGGGGGCCAGTTCACTATTAGATATATAGATTCTACTACAGGTCCCTACTACTCCTATAGCAAGCCAGCAATGTGTGTAAGAAAAGGGTTTTAATGGGGTATTTAAAGGCGAATGGGACAGAATTTTATTCTTTTGCCCTACATGAGCTATTGTTCCATGAGCTTCCTTTAGGGCAAAAAACATCAAATACCAAGGAAGAGTTCACAGGTGTGGCATTAAATGTAGAGGACACCAGTAATCAACTACTGTGTTACTAGTGCAAGCTTTAGGCACGGAATATCCCAGTCAATGACTTTGTTCATTTATTCTCCAAGGACATATGCAAGGTACAGATTTAAATTGGCTTCAGAGTAATTTTCTTGCCTCAGGGAAATCTACCAACTATAGTTCCATGGGGGGAGGGTGTCTAAAAATGGTGAGGGTGCTGAGTAATCTGTCCTAGACACTCTGCAGGTCCTACAGCTCTTTGGGGAAAGCCGGGGCAATTAAACTGGTTATGAAAGTGGCATAAATTCATGGTGCAAATAGACACTAAGTGCTGGTTTGAAGGTTCGCCTTTTAATGATGTCCTCCTAACTGTTGTTATTGGGCTGCTTCCATGATACAATGAACGCAATCCTCAAAACATTTGTAAATTGGTCCTGGGTTTTTGAATATAATGCATTGTACAGCTTAATTGCATCGTGCTTGGCTGCCGTTGCTTCCATCTCAAATTCACTGCGCTGCCATCCAGGGTTATTGTTTTTCCTTATCGCTGGCTTGAGGATTGACCCACTGTAATCACTCTCCAATCGTAAAATGTTGCTCATTTCCTAGGGCTCTCGTTTCAGCAGGCCGGCATGGCCTATCCCAGATATAATTTCTGTGCTTCATCACTGGCTGCGCTGGTAATTTACACGGGAACTGTGATCTGCTTTGGTGATCAGTTTGTCTTCAGTATAGGGCTGCCAAGTGGGGGCGGGGGTGGGTAAACCCCCGCTTTGGAGGCCCAATTTCCGCCGCCGCGGCGGAATCGGGCCCTGGGGGGAACTCGGCCCCCTAAAGCACAGCGTGGCTGCGTCACCAGAGGTGACGCAACCATGTCAATCACATTGGGGGTGTGGCCCCGATCGTCGGAGGGAAAACTCTATGGTTTTCCCTCCGACGATCGGGGCCACGCCCCCAATGTGATCGACATCACGCATCACTTCCGGGACATTTCTGGTGGCGCGCGTGCGTCGGAGGAGAGCTCCCGGAGCCCGGCGACGCTCCCCCGCCGGTAAGGAGATTAGACTTGGCAACCCTACTTCAGTATCATCTGCCAGGGTAGAGTTATCAGCCTCCATGTGGGGCCTGGAGATCTCTTGGAGTTACAACTGCTCTCCAGATGACAGGAATCATTTCCCATGGAGAAAATGGCTGCTGTGGAGGATGGGCTCTATGGCATGATACCCGGCTGAGGCCCCTCCCCAAACCCCGCCCACCACAGGCTCCTCCCACAAACCCCCAGGAATTTCCCAACGCAGAACTGGCAACCCCATGCCAGCGCATATACTGTACAGTTTGTTACGTATCTATGTTATATGTATATTTGTTGTGTGTATATTATTTTATGTGTAGAGCCGGTTTGGTGTAGTGGTTAAGTGCGCGGGCTCTAATCTGGGAGGACCCATATCACCACTCCTCCACTTGCACCTGGCTGGATGAACTTGGGCAAGCCATAGTTCTGACAACAGCTGTTCTTGAAAAAAGAGCAGGTTTTTTCAGAGCTCTCTCAGGCCCACGTACCTCACAGGGTGCCTGTTGTGGGGAGGGGAAGGGAAAGGAGCTTGTAAGCCACTCTGAGACTCCTCTGGGTAGTGAAGGGCGGGGTATAAATCCAATCTCCTCTTCTTCTTCTTCTTTTACCTCACAGGGTATCTGTTGTGGGGAGGGGAAGGGAAAGGAGCTTGTAAGCCACTCTGAGACTCCTCTGGGTAGTGAAGGGCGGGGTATAAATCCAATCTCCTCTTCTTCTTCTTCTTTTACCTCACAGGGTATCTGTTGTGGGGAGGGGAAGGGAAAGGAGCTTGTAAGCCACTCTGAGACTCCTCTGGGTAGTGAAGGGCGGGGTATAAATCCAATCTCCTCCTCCTCTTCTTCTATATTCCACATGACTATTTTTATTTGTTCATTTCAGCTCCATATTTATGCTGGGGTTTTACGTGACCAGTTTTGTGATCCTGACCACACTGGTGTTTGTTTCAGTCATTTACTCCTGTGTAAAGGTAAGTACTAGTAATTTAAGTTGTTTTGCTTTAATATCAGTTTAAATTACCCTGCCAGTCTTCAAGGGTAGCTGTATTGCATCAGTTGTCTAATAAACTCTTCATCCTGGATGTTCTCTGTGGTTTGTGTGTCTTTCTCGTATCTCTCTACCAGTAGGGCGATTTGTTCATTTACACAATCGATCGTTGGTCAATTGCTAGTGTTCATGAAAACCGTATTATTAATTGAAAAAGAATTGCACTAGTAACTCTATCAGCTGAGTTGAGGCCAAACTAGACAAATTGTTAGAGACCCATGAGACCTACGGTCTCTTTAACCTCCTTTAAATAGCAGCTCTGGAAGGAATGGTATGATTTGGATTGGGACCACAAGGCTGTTGCTGTTCATGCGGGAGAGGATGCCTTTCATCTGCTCAGTCCTGCTTACCTGAGAGACATGATGGGCCACATCTGAAGAACCCTCGGTTGCTGTTCAAGCTTGGGAAGAGATTTTGGATTGCATGGGAGATTACATGAGGATGTGTGTCCTTGGGCTCAGGAACAATGCTTGGGGCAGATGGGAAGCCCCTGAGAACTGGATTGGATGCTTGGGTCTCCTGCCAACCCAGCAGTCCGAAAGCCCCTCGGGGCAATTAGGTAAATGGGTACCTGTCTGTAGGAGGACAGGGGGGTACCCATCCCTTGAAATTTGGCTCCAGCCGAGCGAGGAATCGAGAAGCGGCGGCGACATGACAGTGATCAGCACAGAGGAGATGAAGAGAGGCAGTGACATCCCAAGGTGGCGGGTGGCTCGGCAGCTGATGACGTGGCCAGCAGGAGGACGTCCGGAGCCACAAGGAAGTTGTGACGCCCACCGTGGCTGCGCACCAGGGCCCATAACCAACAGCCCCCGAGAGGAGTCAGCAGAGAGCCGAAAGAACAGCGGAGGCCACGGAAGACACACCGGAGAGAACTGGAAGAAGTCGCCCACTCACTGGATAAATGAACGATCGGAGCCAGGAGAGTACCTGGTAGGGCTCCCCCACACCAGACGTACTGTGGCCATAGTTAGGGTTTCTGCATAGGTCTCTGCACCATGCACCGTGTAAGCCGCTCAGAGCCCTTCGGGGGTGAGCGGGGTACAAATTGAAAGTATAAATAAATAAATTGCCGACCCCTGCATTCTAGAGGTCAGTGTCTGAGAAGAACAGCACTGGTTCAAGCTGTTTTTCCCCATCACTGAAATCTTGAGTGCTGATTCATTCACGTCTTCATGGCAGCTGCTTTAAGTACAACTTTCCTTTCCCCCAAAGTCCTGGTGGATTTTCACAGGTACTTCCCCCCCCCTTGATAAATCTCATTTTGTGTTATTGGCTATACAGTGCAATACAGCTGTGCAGTGTATTCATTGCCAAATCAGAAAGATAGAATCCATGCCCTACCAGTATTTCTGTTGCTTGAAATAGGTGACAGGTGATCATTTCCAAAGGTTTAATTGTGTTATTCAGTCAAGAGGAAGCCGTTTCCTTTATTACATCTCTTCAAGGTCTTTTTTTGCATACCGCAATATTAACCTTCCTTAATTAACTGCTTAATCAGTGTCACTTTCAAGGATTCCCTCACTTTCTGTTTGTGCCTCCCAAGAAGAAACATGGATTCACAGCATGTGTTCTGCTGAACAAGGAAGCAGGATTACTAGGTGCTGTAAAAAGGCCTGTAAAAGGGGCCCCGGATCTGATTGGAGGAATTTTCATACCTTAGTTTCTGGGTCTAGGGGGTACTCTCTGGAGGGATATAGGGAGTCTGGATAACTGGAATGATAAGGGAACCACTTTATTATTAAGGACACTGTCATTACTGTGATGATAATAGTCAGGGGTCATTTCCTGTGGGAGCACACAGGAGCGGAGCTCCGGCAGTAAGGAGCCCAGGGGACGGGCACATGCAGCAAGCCCCACCCCCTGCTCCCAGCAGCCCTCAGTCAGGCAACAAAGAGCAAGAAGCAACCAGGTAAGTTGCAGAGCCCCCCCCCGGCCCGCCTTCAGGTACAAGCTCTCCCTCCTCTGTGAGGGCAGATCTGCGCCCCCCCCCCCATAGCTAGCAATCCAAAACAGTCCAGTGGCACCTTTAAGACCAAGTTTTATTCAGGTACAAGCTCTCCCTCCGCGCGCGAGAGAGGAAATTAAGCGAAATTAAGCGAGAGAAGGTGAACCGTTCCCAGCGGGTCAGGACATCTAGCGGCTGGCAACCAGTATGATTCCGGGGGGGGGGGAGGACAAGGGAGAGGGCTGTCAGGCAGTGGTGTCAAGTTACTTCTCACTCTCCTGGTTAAAATAGGAATGCTCTAAAAGGTAATGGGAACCCGAGCCTCTTATTCAATGTACCTTCTCACTGACATCTGTAATTAACTAAAGCTCTCCTATCTTCTTTTAAAAAATGGTGGTGGTCACTACTGTGCCTTACAAAGTGAAGCTACAGAGAAAGCAAGGGGGGGTGGTTTCCAAAAATCTCATCACAACATTTCAAAGGTCAAAAGGCAAATAGTATAAGAAACTTCAATGTACCATAGCTTTGCTTGAAAAGGGTTGCTTACATTTTCTTTCCAAAGTAAAAAAATATCATAAATAGAAAATTATTACCTTGGCTAACAACTCCTCAAATATTCAGAACATTCAGAACATTCAGAATGAGACAGATAGTTTATTACGGCATCCGGCCGGTAAATCAACAGAATCACACTGACGTTTAAAAACATACTGACTGCAGCAATAAAATAGCTAGAATGAATGCAAAGGATATATAAAAATACATTAAAAAGTAACAACACATAAATATTACATAAAATATAGGTCAGCAGATCAGCTTAGAACTAAAACGTGATTTAGCGGGCTTTTCGAATACAGCAGTAGGCGGTACAGAATTTGGCAATAGCTTTAGAGGTAGACTGATTTTCATCTGACAGCAAATAGTTTATATAATCAGATTCTGTCATATCAGGATTTAGTTCTACAATAGGCTCAAGATATTTGGAGCGGCCCTCCTTGTACCAGGAACACCTGAGGAACATACGCGAGCACATTCAGAATATTTCACCTTTCAGTTGCTTTGCTAGTTTGACTGTGTCATACACAATGTGAATTACTTTCAGTATCCAAAGGTATGTTATTGCAGGATGACTTCTGATGACCTTCTCTGACTTAACTTTTGGATTTCTGAGATGAATAAGAATGGGCACAAACTGGGAAGATGCAGTTCGGTTCAGTTTGTGGTTCATGGTGGATCCACAAACGAAACCACAGACCATCACAAATGGAAAAAGCTTCTTACAAACTGAACTGGTTCATGAAGTTCATGATGTGGTAGGATGCTCCCCCCGCAGGCATGCTAGAGACACCAAACTCACAGGGGATCTCTAGCTGACTCTTCTCTACATGCCCTCCAAGTTTGGTAGCCTGCCTCTGGTCTCCCATCCAAGTACTAACCATGGCCGACCCTGCTTAGCTTCCAAGATCTGATGAGACTCGTCTAGCCTGGGCCACCTGTAACTATTTGCTTATTAAAAGACCCCACTCCACCTCCCCCCAAACCCTGCCAAAAATAAAATTGTGACAAATTTTAGTAACTAAACTACCAAGTAGTTTTAAGGTGTACTGCAATTTATTCTGAAGAAAAATAACCACTAGGTTGGTGACCCACTTGATCCTACCATTTTCAGGGGCAATTTGAGGACATCCTTTGGTCTATTCATGATAGTAAGGAAGACAGCGTTCTTGAACCTAGCAAAATGTGGTAATTAAGAATTACCGCTATTCAGGGGGGTTTTGTAGAAAAAGCCCAGCAGGAACTCATTAGCATAACAGGCCACACCCAACAGCAGAAACTAATTAGCATATTAGGCCACACCCCATGCCTTCCCTTGGCTTGCCTGGGTGCCCTGCAGCTGCAGGGAGCCTGGGCAAGCCCCCCCTTGAAGGGAAGGCAGTTTAATGCACTGGGGGGCATTTAAATGTCTCCCCGATCCTTCCAAGGGAGGCCCTAGCCCGCCCGCCTCAGAGTCGCCAGGGGGGTCACTCTCCAGGCCTTCTCTCTGTAGCCATGCACATAGAGGTTTGGGCTGTAGTGGGCGTGGCCAACTCTGAAGCCAGCCGGAACTCCGTTCCTGTGCGTTCCTGCCCAAAAATAGCCCTGCCGCTATTATACCTTCTCTGGTTATTTAGTTGGTTTTGTTTTTTTCTGTCCTGCTGCACAATTTGAGTGGTTGAATGGTCCTAGGCATTCTAACAACCTGTGTAAAAAAATATATATTAAAGGTTGCCCTGAAAGGTTTATTTCTTGCTATGCCACTCTCCTGCATCCTCAGTTTCCATAGCCATTCCAACAAGCTAAGTCTCCTCAGCGCCCCTTCCCCATTCTTCATGGTGCCATCTTTTTGATTTGAAAAATATTAGTTTTCGGGGTCAGACCAGCAAGGTGAAACCAGGTAAGAACCCGGCAGGTTGGAGATGGAAGCAGGACAGAATCTGAGAAAGAACACGGACAGAATCGAGTGACCCTGGCACAATCTGGAACTTACTGGTGCAGCTTTTGTTACTGACCCACTTATGGTTCTGCCCCCTTACCCCTGAGCTGGGATACCTTGTCTTTTGGCTTGAATCTTCCTCACCTCCTCATAGCATGTGCTGTCTGGCCTTCCTGTGTACCCTTTGGTTTTTCCTGATTAGAAATATATGCTCCAAAGAGGTGCTTAGTGGTAAGGCTGACCTCAGTTAGGGGAACAAATCATTATGTAAATATTTGATCCTGTTCAAATAGCTTTGCAATAAAAATGATATAGAAAATGTATATGCCACCTCCCCAGAGATGGAAAGAGAAAAAGTTATTAGCCACAATCCAACCAGGGCCGGCCCGAGGTTGTCCGCTCTAGGCGAGCGCAGATGCCAACCACCCGGTGGGGCCTGGAGACCTCTCTGCCGGGGGCAGGCTGGGAGGAGGGTCACCCAGGGAGCAGGAAGGGCAGAGGCGCTGGCTGGCGGGCAGGCCGGCCGGCCGGCCTCCCCCCCAGCTCAGCTCAGCCCAGCTGCGCCCCGCCGGCCACCAGCCGCCAGCTGAGCCAGGGAGCAGGAAGCGCGGAGGCGCTGGCGGGCAGGCGGGCTGTCCTCCCGCTCATTTGGTTTGCTGCCGAACAGCTTCAAAGCTCGACTTCCGGGGGTTGCCATTCGGCCAAGTCCAGGGGCCGGGAGGCACCTGACCGCTTCTAAAGCCCCTCGAAAGCGCTGAAGCAGCAGCAGCCGTGCCGTACCATCTCCCTGCCTCTCCCAGCAGACTCTTCTCGCGTGATTAAAGAAGGAAGGAAGGCGCCTCAGGAAGAGACCGAGCCCATGAAGGCATATTGACGCGGGGATAGGTAGTGGGCTTAGGCTAGGCTGACAGTTGGGATTGCTCACGGCCATTTCACTTAGGCGGATTAGCCAGCAGTTCGGCATGAAAAATCCTTTGGAAAGACCGGGAAGGCAAAGCGCTCGCCTTCTTCCCAACTTCTAACATTCTTCCCCCATAGTCCCCCCCCCCACCTCAGCCCAGCCGCACCTCGCGTGGAGGCGGTGGCCGGCTGGCTGGCGGGCGGGCCGGCAGTCCTCCTCCCCCCCAACACCACGAGCAGCGGCGGGGAGCCATGGGGGAGGTGTGCCTTGCCTGCCCCCCCGCCCCCAACCACGCACCCCCTCGCCTCGCCCGCTACCTGCAGAGGAGGAGTGCCTCGCCAGGCGGCAGTGCCGGGATTTCCTGCTTGGGGGCGCTGAT